AGCCGAGAAAAGTATATGCAGAGGTACGAAAAAAGTGATATTTCTCCATCTGTCTGTCTATCTGTCCGTCTGTCTGTTTGTTTGACCGTCCGTCACAAAACTTGTCCGAACTACTCATAAAAACTACTGGTGCAATGAGCCTTTGATTACTTCATTTTTTTAAAGTTGTGTCCGGATCACACCTCGTTTACTACTTATGCTATTTGAGTGAATGTTTACAGACTTGATCGTTACTACAATACTTGCGCATATTTAACTGTTTCAAGTTGGCTGAGATATGGCCCTTCAATAAGAAAAGCGCTTCTGTCAGTTAATGGTTATTGTTTCCCGTACTACAGAGTAGCTGTAACAAGCTGCGATATATACAGGAAAAGAACTTCCAATCACCTCTGAATACAACTACTTTATTTGCTTTCATCTGGCGACACATGTGTCCAGTGATTGCTCTTGTTCAAAGCAACATATTTCGAAGTGTTTAAATTCATATGTCCGTTTCAATGTTCTATTGTTATTTTCTTAGTAACTTCAATTTTGCTTTATTGCCCCATACATACGCATAAAATTAAATCATTTGTATATTTATTTCTTTACTAAACAAAAATTCATATAAGATAATTTTATTATTGATTTTGTAAGCTGGTATTTAACAAATGAATTCTGATATGAAGGACGCACTTGTTAACCCATTCGTAATGAAATCGTTAATTCACAAGACATGGATTCACTTTGCCCGTTACAATGTTGTATGATAAATGTCCAAACGTTTTGTCGTGTGCAAATGTTTTGGAAGGTTTCTTAAGACTATGATAAAGTTATACTACTATTACATAACGTCACAATGTATAAATATGCTGATATATTTCATTAACTGAACTTCCGGTGGAAATATTGAATTCAATTATAATTTTTAACTAGAAATGCCCTTCCCAGAGGAAATATTTATTGATATTTCATAACCTAACATTATATTTTGTAACACAACAGATCATTCAAAGCATACATTAATTAATATTCGTTTCTAAGGCTTAATTATGAATCATCAACGGTGTTGCTGCCATACCTTAAATAGATCAGACTTTGCATTCAATCTGCTGAAAAATATCACATTTCAAATGACAATTAAAATGAGTTTTCTTTTAAACAAATTAAGACCAAAGTGAATAATGGTTGAATATTGAAACTCCATGACGTTCAAGTATTGTCAAAAAGAGAAATATATGTAGTACTAAGAGTCATGCGTATTCATATTCTTTTAAATTAAGAACATTTGTATGACAGTCGGAAAAATGTCAAAAATGTCAAAATGTCCTTGCTACAATTTGAGCAAGAGTTATTTTATATCATTGTGTTAAACGCGTGTTTCCTGAGATATTGAATGACTATGGTACCATGTACCCGGTGCAGCGCATCAAAAATTTTTTGAATCTACGATGTTTATTCATAATTTGACGTCTTTTTTCCATATATTCTACAAACACGTTTCATTATAATCAAACAGCATTATTTAGATGTTAATACTTAACGCCGTATTTCGGATATATGTATAAAAGACGTTAATACTTGGTTGCTGCTCGCCATTATGCGATAATGACCCGAAGATGTGCATAATGGCCTGAGGGTCGCAGGCCCGAAGGACAGTATGAACTCGAGTGCCATTATCGCATAATGGCGAGCAGCAACCAAGTATTAACGTCTTTAATACCTATGTCCGAAATACGGTGTTAAGATAAAGCCGCTAATCTTGGTTGTTGCCCTTTCTAAGAAACGGACAGTAACTGTTGTCAATGTAAACAAATATATTTCATACTGTACTGTACAGTTTAACACGCCGATTAACTTAGAAAACAAGACAACACAAAATAAATATAAGAAAATGTTGTTTTATTGTTGCTTTTATCGATAAACACAGACTCCTACCCGATATTTTTGTGAGCATTACATGTAGATCTAGTGCCAGAAGTTTTTATGAAGTTGTGTGCCTTCAAGAACGGTTTCTGAGACTGTCTAGGTCTAAATGCGAACGATCCGACATTTTTGTACAGTCAATCTAAATTGGAATTTCTGAGGGCCATGTATTGTCTTGCGTTTATAAATCTTCAATGATAAGCTTTGCTGGCTGTGATTATGTCATTTTAACATTTAAAAAACATTGTTGCAAGTGACAATAGCTCATTCAACGACAGCAGCCATCGTTGTTAACGTCATTTTGCTCGTGCGCTCATTCACTTGCCCATTATGGAAAAATAATGCCGAGTAGCAAGGCGGCCAATGACCTAGATCTTGTCATAATGGCCCTAGAAAAACATAGGTTTTGTTACTATATATAGTAACATAGGTATTAAATCTAAGTTAAACGTTATTCAGACATAAATGGGTAAATAATCAAGTTTTGAACAGCAGTGGTTATAACGTTAAATGTAAATGTGTGGTTAAAAATTGAAAATGTTAGCGTATAACTGTGCCGATAGAGTGGCGATACTCTTACAATCAGATACAACTAGATAAAAATGAACACAGGGAAATTAATCAGTAAGCAGTGCATTAGTTTTCAGCAAGTATAAAAGACGACTAATACGAGATCACAAACGGGCAAGGGTGAGGAAGAAAGCGAACTTGACGGAACGTTAATGACGTTAACTGCAAATGATCTACAACAGGATCGACAGTGAACAATTCGCGAAGTGTCTGCCATGTTTTATGAAAGGGGATATTCGCAAAATGTAAGCTTTGATAATGGTTTTAGAAAGTAAGCAACATGTATTCCTGATGATAATTCAAATACTTGCATATAAAGTACATTTAATTAATTATAACTCAACGATTTTCATATTATTGGCAAAGTAAGCAAGCCAATGCTTAGTTAATATAAAAATACCTGCAAATGGATACTTTTGACTGAATAAAAAGCAAACACATTACAAGGATTGATAAAAAGTTCCTGGCCCGATGTACTTTAGGTTGTAAGAGAACCCAACTAATAGTCTTACATTTCAATATAATCGCCCTGTTCATCAATGCACTTTGCCCATCTGAGCTCCAACTTGTTTAATCCTTCAAAATAGAACTATCTATTTTGGCCCTTAAAGAACTTATTTACCGCCTCCATGTTACCTTCATTGCTTCCAAAACGTCTACCATGAAGCTTGGTTCTCAGTTTCGGAAACAGGTAGAAGTCAGAGGGGGCCACGTCCGGAAAATATGAGGGATGGGGGAAGAATTTCAAAGTCGCAGTCAGTTGCAGCAGGCATCGCAACTTGTAAGCTGGTGCAGAATCAGACGGCTTTGAGTCAGTTTGCCCCTCCTTTTACGCGCGATTTCTTGACACAGATGTCTCAATTCGTCTGCATATTACGTGCCGTTTATGACACGATCTTGCTCAAGATAGTCATTCATAATTATCCCCTGTCTATCCCAAAAAATGTAAAAATAGAGAGAAATAAGAATCCTTAAAGAAAGCCCAACACGGCACAGTTGAAAATGTTGCAGGCTCGGTTTGATTGAGCCTGTTCATGGACGGTACTGTCAAGTGCAAACTACCGTCCACGCCCCCTAGCACTGGCTTAAGCAGAATTCAACATTTAACATGAACTGGTAAAATTTAGAATTTTGAAACATCCGCAGATGTAGCCATCATCTTCCCTGCTGAATTTCATCAGAGGGGTTAGCCAGGGTGCTTCAACTGAATGCTCTGTTTTTTTTATTCTGAATCGAAGTGATGGACCCATATTTCATCCTTAGTTATGATCCGGTAGATAAAATCAGTTTCACCCTCGTAGCGAGACAAAAGATACCTTGAAATGTCAAGCCTGGTCCGTTTCTGGTCGTCAGTCAACTGTCTGGGGACCTATCTAGCAAAAACCTTTGACATGCCATAGACATCAGTCAGAATTGCCTGAACAGAACCAAAGCTTATACCCACATCCCTAGCAATGCTTTGCAGGTCTCGCCTTTCGTCGCACATGACCAGATCGTGCACAGCTTCGGCAGTTTTAACGTTGGTGGCCTCTTTTGGCCATCCAGGCCGCTAATCATAACCAATGCTCTCCTTGCCCTACCTAAATTCAGCAGCCAATTGTTATATAGGAAGTGGTATAGGAAGAGGACTTCTTCCCCTTCCCAAGTGTATCCATGAAGTCTTTATGGAGTTCTTTAGGGGACAACTCTTGCTTACAGAAGTACTGAATGACGGCTCTGACCTCAAATTCCTGTATTTGGTCCATCACTCATCGGAGTGTATTTTACTTAATCTGTGTTAACAGCGTGTTACTCGGTCAGTAATCTTAAATAATATATCGGTATTGACGTATTGTGTGTAAATGTCAGTGTAGTGGCCAGAAATTTATCGGGCCGAGAACTTTTTGATCATACATTGTATTTCAATAGATTGGTAATTGTTATGGTGATTGACTAATAATTGATAATGAAAATCGTTAATGATTGAATATAAAAACTACTTGAATAAGAAGTAATATATTTATAGAAATTTCCGTAATCACATGGAGTCAATTCACTTTACGAACAGCTTTTTGCCTCAGTTTTATCCAAAACCCTGGCCGATTACTTAAAGGTACTTAACTTGTAACTTATAAGAATGTACTAACTATCTTGTTCCAACTTACCTTTGCTACTCTATTATTATAGTGTTCGGCGCGGTGTGACAATTAATGTGTCAGTGATCCTGTATAAGAGAATTAATAGCGTTCAAACCCAACGTCGATGTGTTCCGTTTTGTTACAAATGTCTTTTTCATCACGTATGATATGATTACTGTAAAACGTTTTTCATAGTTCTTTGTAATTGTCGATAAAAAAAGTCTACGTTATTTTGAATCATTCCCCGTATGTTTTGTCATATTATTCGTCTTATTAAATATTCTATTCAAAAAGGACCCATAGCAACAAGGTTATTGTAATTCATTAAATAATGTATTAAATATTTGCTCTGTTTTGTATAAAAGTCAGGTAACAACCAGAGTACTGGTGCAGTCGTATATATTTTCAATCGCTTCAACAAGGACTACTTCGAAACTTAAAATATAATTGCATTTATTTCTTTTTGGTGTACGGATTATTTTCTCTAATGCAATGTTGCTTATTTTTGTAATTATCCACTCTTTTGGAACAGTTCAAAGTTTAGGAAATGAATTTGCGACATCTTTTTTCGAGATAGAGAAAGTTTTTCAATTTCCCAAAAATGACCCTTCTCTTTTTTTGATTCAAGCAAAGTCATTGATTTCATGCAGTTTTCATTGTCAGAAATTAAATTCGCCATCGTTTTACTATTTTGAAAATAATGCAACATGTTTCTGCTGTTCCGGTCATGACAATTACACTGGTGAGGAGGGGCAGACTGACAATGAAATTATCCATGGGAAAAGAACAGAGACGGTGTCAACAACGTATACTCAAGTAAGAATCATTGTTGTTTTTTTATTAATGTTTAAATCTATATAATATTTATTTTATATATATTTAGGCAATGGACAAATAAAGGGCACTGAATGAACCAGTGTAAGGCTTGGGCTTGGCACCGGTTTGCAGTCGCTTGGTCGAGCTTGAAAACTTGGCGGAGTGAAATTGTCTGCTCGAAACGTATGTCTGAGGCACAGATTCGAAACACCTGACCGCGTCTGTCCTTATAACTTTGTTAAGACAGCAACACATTCATTAATCATATAATGTAAATACTTGTCTCATGGACCCTCCTGCAACACGGCATAATGTAGAAATATTCAGTGAATCAAATCACATAGATACACCACTTTAAATAATAAATGGTCTTAAAAGATATACTTGGCAACATGTCCGGGTCCGCACTGTAAGTCCCTTAAAAGGCGGATGACCCTTTTTAAGCATAAAGTGCATGGCATAGCATATGGCAATATGTATTTGTGAGAATACTATTCAGATTATGGCAAAATATATAAATATCTTTACGTTCTGCAAATAACTTGTAGAAATCCGGTAATGCATAAAGTTATTTATTTTATGTCCATCGTATTACTTGCTTAAATATTATGCTCATCCTTGAAGAAAGTACTTTTATTGCACAATGTCATTAAAATCTAAAAGATTCTTACCAGATATGTCTTATTTTAAAAAAAGAACATACAGATTACGTATAAGAGTCTGCGTTCCGTTTTACAGGTCAAGTAAAGGTAGTCCTTTCTTTAAAAAATGCTGCCACTTTATTAATGACACTATACATGTATATTTATATTGTGATGACCTATAGTTTGAAGAGTTTCAAACATAATATACAGGTATCTACGTCATCCTATGCCACAACATGTTTATTTTATATTTACAAAAAGACCGTGTAGCAAATATCAGTCTTTACAAATATCAAATTAAAGCATTCTATATTTTTAACCCCATATGAATTAATAATATGTTAACCTGTCTTAAACTCTTAATATGTCTTTGTTTTATCTTTTTGATCTGCAAACTCATCTGGGGAAATGTACTGATTGTAAAAAGAAAATTGAAGATGTCAGTTTTTTACTTCATTTTAAAGATGTCTTATGGATGGTGTAAATAATTGTAAATGGATTTAATAACTTTCAAATATTATGAAGTTTACATTTTCCCTTACAATTTCTAAATAAATATTTCTGTAATTTATTTCAAAGTGATCTTACTGTAATGTTTTTCCGCCAAAAAATTCAGACATCGGCCAAATCGTCACATCCTGAATTTCATTTAGTTCATAGCGATAAAGGATAAGTGATTGTTAAAGTCTAATGCCCAAGATGTTGAACAAAATAACGTTCGGGACATTACCGATTTACTACGATATTGGTCGATGTTAGAATTTTTTAGGCGGGAAAGCATTACAGTAAGACTACCTTAATATAAGACTACCATAACTAACTTGTTGCAGTAATAAAACAATAGAAAATAGAAATGATATAATTCAATGCATTCACATTTCCTGTGTCATCCTATGTAAGATAAGACAATTGTATATTATATAGATGATATTGAATGAGTATAGGGTTCAATACTGAATTTATGACCGTGTTGAATAATTTTATTATGAACGCCTAATATTTTTCAATAAATTAAGTAATATAGCTACACGAATACAATATTTTTAATTATCACACATCCAAAAAGAAAGAAGTATGTACAGTAAAAAATATGTTTTTCAACGATTCGCCTTTCCCAAACGCTAATATATGTATTTAGGCATCTTTACACTATGTTTGTATACCGCAAATTACGTCATGTCAAACACGAAGTATTTCTTTAAAAGATAATTGGCCGAGATAAATCTGCTTTTACTTGTAGTTTTTATTTTCAGTAACACTGACCCTAATAATTCTATTCGTACTCAAAATCTTCGTTTTAACTCATTTTTAACATCGTGTACAATGTTTGAAACAAAGTTTATTTAGCAATAAGTTTAATTCTGAATGGGTGTTTTTTCACTTAAAGTGAATTACTTATTTAAATAAGTAATTACTGTTTCATCAAATTGAAATTTTAATAGAAATTTTTGTCAATATTAAATTACTGGTGGAAAAAACCAAAATACACTTAAAAATTCGGAACAAAGCGTAAGTCTGTTACTTGAAAATATTTAAAAAAAAAAAAACAATTAAAAGTGACAAACAATTAACACCTTGGTGTTATAAATATATTTAATTTATATTCAAACATATATGAAAATATAAATTGAAGACAATCTATATTACTCAGTATATGATAATATACGGAAACGTATAGCGACCACCCCTATATGTTAGTTAAAACAGAATTTTTGACAATTTATTTAATACATATTATATACCTAACCAATTTTTACAAACTTACTTGATCTGAAATATGTATCTAGTAATATCTACCGCCTTTGAATGTTAGTAAAACAGAATTTTAGACAATTTATTTAACACATGATATATATTTGACCAATATTTTAATTGTTATTTGATATTGAATATATATTTTTTACTCAATCTGCTGTTAATATTGCTCAATTAAAATTTATGTGAGTTTTTTTCTGTTCATTTATATGTATTAAGTATATATTTTTGAGGTTTTTTATTACATTTACAGTTTATATTTGATAATGAGGACAGAAAAATCCCACGCAATATATAAAGGAAGCAATTAAATCAAGTTATGTTGTAAATCATATATAATACGTATTTTTTCGTAATCTATCGTACGTTTTTTATCTTATAATGCAAGATAAACTACTTTTAACTTTCTGACAAAATGAAAAACTAATAAAACGATAGAACTTAAAAATCTGAGTAACTTCAGAAGACAGTTTGTTTCCGGAACTCATTAAGATTAGTAAAACATAAGACGCGTTCACCATTTCAGAAAGATTTTTTTATATTAGTTTACTTGATTAAGAATTGCCAATGAGATTCCCAGATGTTTAAATGACCAATATCAATTCTGCTTCAATAAATCTTCAGTTCTTCGCTGTCAATTTTACAGGATGTCAGACTTATTTTAGAAGACCTTTGGCCGAAATATATGCAAAACCGTACAATACCATTTTTACGGTGTCGCAAAAACGGTACAAGTATGTGATTAAAGGACATTATGCAATGACTCTTTGAACAAACCCTTTAACTCCTGGCGCCGGGCGATTGTTACCGTCCAAATATCTAGTAACAATATAAAACATCTCTGGTTCAAGGTTGGCAAGTAAAAAAAAATGATTACAAGTTTCACAACCATTTAAAACAATCTACTTCAAACAATTGAATTGTTGTTTTGTTTTTATTCATAAGTAACAATTTATGCCTGTAATAGGCCAAGTTGTTAAACGAAATATTAAATGAAGCTTTACTGAGCCCAAAATTTCTAAAAAGATTTCGGTATTAAATATACATCAACAAGGAATTAAGAAATCTGGTTAGAACTTAACTAAAAATCGATATTGAGTGCGATTCCTCGATCAACTTAAACTAAAAGAGATGATGAGATAGTTGTTGTTGGTCTTTTTGTGTGTGTGTTTTTATTGAAAGTAGCACGCCTCCAGATTCATGTTATTTTTCATGAAAAATTTGGAAATGTAATTAAACCTTAAATATTGTGAGGTGAACAAATAATAAGAGGATATTTTTTAGTTTGAGTGAATTATGTAATATGTTTTCACTCAACTTGAAAAAAATGCCACATATTTTCACGAGCCGGGATGTGGCATTTTATCATGTTGAGTGAAAATCTATACCATATTTCACGAAAAAAATAAAAAAAATAACCTTTTTTATTTAATTTCATTATCAAAGAAAAATAGTTACGAATCATCTTGCTCGCTACGCAACTGCAATTGTACAGCGCAACTGCAATTGTACAGCGCGAGGTAATATATTATTTATAGATGTGTTTATAGATGTGTTTATAGATGTGTTTTGTTTTGCCTGTATTTGCACGCGCTGTTTGGCGCTACATTGTGACGTCACGTAAACAACTGTTTAAACGTTTGTACAGCTTTAATGACTTAATTAAAGATATTGATGTTAGGATTTCTTTTCTTACTAGTTAAACTTTTTTCTATCATTCTAGATAGTTTTCAAAGATTTTTTTTCAACAAATTGATGTTATTTATTTATCAGATTTTTAAAACAAAATGGCGAAAGAAGTCCCTTAAAATAAATATGAGTTTTAACTCCGCCCACTTTCATATTTATCTTTCAAATTTATTTTTTACAAATATGAAATATATTTGACTGATAAGAAAATTACCAAAAAAGTCGTCAACATATGCAAAATGAGCCCTTACTGTGTTAGTCGCGCAGTAGAAATATTGTAATAAAGTTCTGCAAATTTGTTTTATACCGCACATAACATGAAAAATATAACTTGGATCTTGAATGTTTTTATCTTTCTTAAAACTTTAGTACATTTTTCTCAAGATTTTCTTGAAATATTTTGACTCACCTGAAGGCGTGGAGCTTTTAGTCATGTTGCACACTAAAATAATTATTCTCGGACAAAAGTATTGAGCATTTTTTTTTTCAAATAAGTTATTAGTATAAAACTTTATCAAGTGGTATTAATGCATTAAAAATATTCAGTTCTGCCATGTCAAATAAATCAAGTGGAGTCACTTAAAATATTAATCCATTTCAGCAGACCATAATTTTTTTCTTCCGTAGACAAACAACACTTTTTACATGTAGTTATTGGTTTACCAATTAATTATATACCCGTTCCGCTTTTGTGGCACCATCTGATCGGTATTGCATGGCCGTACATATAGTTTGACGTGACGTCATTATCGTTAAACAACATCGCGTAAAGACGCGCTAAATGATAGCGCTACTTTATAATTCCGTCTATAGAAACATTTACTGTTTTGGGTATGTGATGAATCGATTTTTTTATTCCTATAGCTTCGTTTCTAAATTAATTCAATTTGTGTTCACTCATTCAATATCATCCCCTTAGTCTTTTTGATATGCATTTTTATCACACACCCGTGCCGACTTTGCGACTCCGTAAATATGGTATTGCACAGCCGTACATATATTTTGACGTGAGGTCATTAGCGTTATACAAACAAAGAGTAAAGACGCACTAAATGTTAGCGTTATACTATAGGCGTGTCAATGAAAAATGACTCTTATTTCACTTTAAACGGTCTTTATTTTGGGTATGTGATAAATAGAAATAGAGAATAATAGGTTTCGGCTCACCCAATAAATTCCCCCGCCTCGCCAGATAAACTTTCTCCATCCACGGCACCAATCTATTATTCTATTTATCCTGTAACCGTTTTATTTAAAGAATTTTATTAGGCAAAATACCTTTAATCACACTATCGGAAATGTTTCTATATAAACAAAGAAGGCCCGAAGCGTGCATTATTATACAACAATGCACCCGCCGTTCTTATTATCTCCCTGTGTATTTTCACATTGAGGACGCCATATTGTTTGAAAAATGAGATAAATAAAAACAATTTTTTGTCGAATTTTGTTGTGAAAACTACCTAGAATGAAAGAAAATGGTCTTACTAAGAAAATGAATTCGAACACCAATATCTTTTATTCAGTCGTTAACGCTGTACAGACGTTTAAAGTATTGTTAACGTGACGTCACAATGTAGCGCCAAACAGCACGTGCAAAATAATCAAATCAAGTACGCTATTTTAATGTCGCAAACGAGTTTTGCTTTTATTCCCTTTTAATAATTTTTATTCCGCTTGAAAAATTATAGAGCGAAATAAAATAAACAAACAAAGTTTTATCAACGTTTCCAAAATTCGTTATTCTACACACAGAAGATTTAACGACAGTTTTTTTCATACCACCGGAACGGCCTGTAAAGAACGTTTCTATTGGAAACTCTGAGGCGAAAACAAATTTAACCACCAAACATAAAGTCCAACATTATAATAATAATTATATTTTTTCTTGAAAAGTAGTCCGGCAAACCATGCATACCACGTGATCAAGTGCCGTAGATCAGTAAAAATATACGGCACCTTGTTATCGGGCCGAAATTGATACAAGTGACATGATAATATTAAATTCGTGTAAGTTCATAACTGAATTTATTGCACTCGTTGAATAAAATAATATTATGCTCGTCAGAGGCTCGCATAATAAGAGATTAATACACGGCAGGGTAGGGCCGGAAGGTGATAATCGGCCCGCAAAATGAATAATGGCCCCGAGGGCTTCAGTCCGAGGGCATTATTCATTTCAGGGCCGATTATCACCTTCTGGCACACCGATGACGTGTATTAATGTCTTTAATACACTTGGTAGATCTAATAGTAACATTTTTCTAAAACAAATACTTTGATATTTCTTTCGTTGAAATTCCTGTCTGTACTTATACTCATAATACTGTACTGTTACTTCTACAGAGTTGTTTACTTTTTTTGTGTACAAAGTACACTAGAATCTAGAAGCAAGTATTATTTTCTTTCTTTTTTTCGGAATGAATTTGTCGTATTATTTATTCAAATTTAAATACATGTAGTTAAAAAACTGTGTTCATAATTAAATCAAGCGATTCATGCTAAAAACCTACTTTCACTTTTACAGTTAACTGTTTGATGACGTAAAATCTGACGTCATTGTTAGTTTGTGCACGTGTATTAGTTCTGCGGGCTGATAACTAGTTCTCGGCCCCGGGCCGCAAACTCATAATAGGTCACGTGACACTCATAATCAGTTGAAATCATGGGCAATTTTGTTACTATATATAGTATAGTAACAAGTTTATTAATATGATTTTATTCAACTCGTGCAATAAATTCAATATTGAACCTACACTCATTTAATATCCTCTATTTATCACACACCCGTGTCGATTTTGCGACTCCGTTAAAATGGTATTGCACGGCCATGCATATATTTTGACGTGACGTCATTAACATTATACAAACATAGTGTAAAGACGCGCTAAATGTTAGCGTCATACTTTAGGCGCGTCAATGAAAAAATGATTTTTTTTTTCACTTTAAACGGTCTTTATTTTGGGTATGTGATAAATAGAATATTAAATGCATGTAAGTCATTACTAAATTAATTGAACTCCTTGAATAAACTTATATTACGCTCGCTAGAGGTTCGCATGATATAATTTTATCCAACTCGTGCAATAAATTCAGTATTGAACATTCAATCATTCAATATCTTCTATATATTTAACCTCTTATATGTTATCAATCCGGTTAAAAGGGGTTTCTCTGTAATAATTTATAGGAAGAATAATTGCATTTTTTTAATTATACACTTAATTGCTTTACAGGTAGGCAGTTTAAAGACAAAAAGAATACACAAACAACCAGAGCCAATTGACTGCCTTGAGCTTTTTCAACAAGGCTATACTGAAGACGGTGTTTATGTGATCAAACCAACGGGAAGTTCTACTACTGATGTGTGGTGTGATATGACCAATGGTGGATGGACGGTTATACAACGCCGGCAAGACGGATCTGAAGATTTCTACAGAAATTGGGAGGAATACAAACAAGGATTTGGGAACAGGAGTGGCGAGTATTGGCTCGGGCTTGAAAATATTCATCATTTTACAAAAAGCAACAGTTCTCTTAACATATACATGGAAACATTTCAAAAAGACAATATGAATCCGTTTTCTGCTTTTGCTGAATATTCCATCTTCAAAATTAATGACGAGAGTGATAAATACAGATTGACAGTTGGAGGATATCATGGGTCGTGTGGTGATTCCATGTCGCCTCATAATAATTGTCAATTTTCGACCAAAGATAATGATAATGACGACCGGACAGGGAACTGTGCACAAGACTATGGCGGAGCTTGGTGGTACAGGTCATGTCATACCGCGAATCTAAATGGGCTTTATCTGAACGGGGTTAATACCGAAAATAGTCGTGGTATTAACTGGTATTACTGCTGGGGGTTCTATTACTCTCTCAAGAATGTTGTAATGAAAATGAGAAGAGATATGTAATTTTTCTCTTATATTGAATGTGTAAGATGCTTATATTTTCCGTAAGAACACGGATATGTTAATAAACAGTTGATTGAACCTTTATGTTTTATATCACAAACAATTTATATAAATATAATAGTGCCATCACAATTTTAGGAGACAGACATCCCTCGTGAGTAATGAAATCACAAATTATGTCAGATCTTCTTCTAAAAAAATATACTGGTATAAGCTTGAATTAAATCAGCAAAGCTATACTTCATAGATTTAAATGAGCATATTTTTCTGTTTGTGATTATATTACAATTTGATCAATAGTTATTTTATATTTCCATCATTATATTGAAAAAATATTTTACTATCTATTTAGATGTAGTTTGCTTTCAATTATTGTCTTTTTACAGTTCTTGTAACAGGCTGGATAACCACTTCGAGTAAATATTTTATTTCGCATATTATTTGGCCATTTTATATTATCTGCTTTCTTTTATTGGGAACCATATACGGCATTTCACATAGAGATGTGTAAGTTGCTGTTCGACAGGGCTATATACTGTTTGCTGGCCAAATACCACGTTTTCTTCATATCCTCAATAACAGCTCCAAACGCATAAGTCGGACAAGTATATAAATAACACATGTTTTGTGGGTTACAGTAAAAATATCATCCAGAGGAAAATACTGTTATCCGAGACGTAAGCCGTGGTTAACAGTATTTTACGAGGGATGCTATTTTTACTGTTACTCAAAAACCAATGTATTATTTATTTTATTACCTCGGACAATAACTTTGATGATTCTTATGATGATTTTATTTTATTTTCTTAAGAAAAAAGACAGTGTGACCAGATTTCATAACTGTTAAAATATCTCTTTTTCTTTTTTTTTACCCGTAACATTTACAAATTTTTAGTCAGGGGGTGCACTTGAAATCAACATTTAAAATTTAAAATTTTTCTAGGCCCCTTTTATTGGTAATTTACATTAAAACAAAAAACGGGTAAAAATTTACATTTTATTCTTTCTCAAAGTTCCCGGGTTTGGGTTTTAAAAATTTCAAAAGGAGAAATGGTTTTTGTCTGCAAATTTTAAAAGAGTCTTAAGTCGTGTTTTGTCCCCCCGTATAATGTTTTTTAATAGCCATTTAAAAAAGAATTTGTTTTTAATTTTTTTAGAATCAGGTTTACAAGGCAAAACTTTTAATTTAATGAATTTAAAAATTGATGTCTTCTTGTTTTGTTTTTGGTTTATTTTTTTAAATTAATATGATTTTGCATGTATAGGTATTATATATCAATAATTTTACATCAACATAATTACACAATAAACAAAAGGGTTTTTGGCCTAAAGTTTTTGCAATATTTATCGTGGGCTCTTTCCCATCAGTTTCATATAAAGTAAAGATAGTTTACATTTAAAGTAAATATGCATTAAGTAGCTAAGCATTTTCATTTTTTATACATAAGCAAAATGATTGAAGAGAAACGAAAAAAAAGATGAGTTGCTGTTTATTAAAACAAACAGTTGGGTCTCGAAACTTCCACCGATCCCCTATATCCAATTGTGAAGCGAATACCCATTTGTTAGTACTGAGCAAAAATAACCAAAATACTTGTTATATTGAATTAAAAGTAAAAACGAATTCATTACGATTATTTAAATGTCTTGGTTTTCTTTGATATAATTTTTTGAACATGCTGGAAATAATAGAGTTTATTTGAAATCATTAAAACACTCGATTGCCAAAGAGTAGCTTTTTAGACTAATTCGGATGGGAATTTCTGGTATTTTGTATTTTTAGTTTACTTCTTTGTTAAAAGTAACTTAAGAAAAGTTCGATTACATCCTCCTATTAAAGAACCACATCCGCATGGCTTAATTTAATAGTGTTGATGATTTGTTAAACAAGGTCACGAAATTCAGATTGCTACAAATATCCTAATTGGAAATTTGCATAACAGTCAATTACAGACTACCTTTCGATTAAACTGGCGAGGACAACAGGGGCTTTATATTAATTTTTTATAAGCTTATTTTTGAATATAGATTAAAGTTTTTGGTATTCCCCTAATTATTTTTCAGTTGGTAATTTTTTTTCGTTTCCAAAGTTTTTTTTTAGGGATTAAATGAGAGAATTATCATAAATTTATGTTTTTCTTGCTTTTGAAGAAATTATTTACATTTTTTCCGCAGCGAATATAATTGTGAGGAAACATTTGCGGACGATTGTGAGAATAATTGTGATAAGTATATCGGTAAAAGGTTTTGTTTTTTACTCTATTTATCAATAAAAAAAAAAGTTTTATTTTTTCTCCTGTTGTCTATTGATAAGCCATCCTTTTAGTTTAAAGATTTTGAATTAAAAAAAATCTAGTTAAACCTGTTACAAACCCTTGCTGCTTCATATATTGTAGTTTTTGTAAAGTTTTTTTCATATTGTGTACTGTTATCCAATATTTATGACACATATTCGACCCTTGGACGAATATAAGAAACAAATATATATGTATAAGATAAGAATTGTGAATGTCTCGCGTAGGTCTCAGATACATTTTTGCTAATTATCATCTCATAATAGAATTGCTATACCTAGTATCTGTTTTAAGCAATACATTTAAGTAAAGAAGTTTATAATGTACGTCGTTTTGTTTGTTTCTTTGTTCGGTTGGTTGGTTGATAGGTTGGTTGACTGGCTGACTTGTTGGTTGGTTGGTTAGTTGAATTGTGTGTTCGTGTGTGTGTGTGTGTGTGTGTGTGTGTGTGTGCGTGCGTTTATGCATGCATGTGTTTTGCAGTTGTAATTATTTGTGATTTTTTGTTGGTTGGTTGATAGGTTGGTTGTTTGATTGTTTGGCTGGTTGGTTGGGTGATTGGTTGGTTGTTCGGTGGGGCGTGCGTGCATGTGTGTGTGTGTGTGCGCGCGCGCATGGTTTTATTGTTGTTGTTGTTGTTTGTGTTGTTGTTTTTTCCTTCATAAAACGCATTTTCTATACTATTTGTACATTTAATCATGTCTTTACTATGTAATGTGATTTACAAGTCCTTTTTTAATACTTTTCAGAAAAAAATCTCACTTTATACAATTAATGTTTTTGAATGAATACTTGGCTTATCATGTATCAAATTTCTGATAATAAAACCTATCACAAAAATATGAAATTAATTGTTTCACTATTCAAAGCACATGACGGTCCTTGGGATAGAAAAGTATCGTACGTGTACATCATTTGGTTTATTTTTAAGTCAAAAGTTGCAAAACATATCAAAACGATAAAACTCTAAAAGTATTGTTTTGCAATATTTACATGAGACTGATAAATATTCGGAAGCTTTTTCGTTAGTTTCCGTAATTTATTACGATTAAACAATTGATTTTTAATTACAGCATGTTATTCTCGATACATTAAATCATACTTACGCCCGATGACCTAGTTGTAAGTATGATGGCATAACAGTCGCGCAGTTTCAAGTTCATATCCTTTTTTTGTTCTCAAACTATTTTTTTAATTAATAATAATATATTTTTTATAACTTTGATACATACATGCATAACAATGTAATTTGTCATAATCCCAATATGTAAACTCGCAGAGTAGGTGATTTACATGCCTTAAAACCCTAAAGCTTGAAATTTGAAAGCTATAAAAAAAAAACAGAAAAAAAAGGGTTTTAATTTAGATTTTCACCCACAATTTTAAAATAAAAAATTTTTTTAACCTTTTTCACAGAAAGGATGGGGTTGTGTTTTGGGTTTCTTTTTTTGTCATAAATAAAACCATTGTCCGTTCTGCCCGTACTTTTTAAAACCGTAAAATTTAATTTGGAAATCCCTAATTACCGAAAACTCAAATGTTTTCTAAAAAATTTCACAACAAATACAAAGCTTTGGTTTGGGGCAGAATTTTTAATGGGAAAAAATATATAAATGGGAGTTCTTTAAAATTTAAACTTACAATGGTATTTAAATTTTTTAATATTAAATAAAAGTTCGGGTTTTAACACAAGGGGCGTCCGTTTCCTTTATGGTTAGAGTCGTTGACTTCAAACCACTTGCCCCCTCACCGCTTTGGTTCGAATCCGACAGGGACTTTGGATTCTTACATGTAGGAAGCTATCAGCTAGCTAACGGAACGTCCCGGTGGTTCTACTCAAGAAACCCGTTCGTGCCTGATATATTTGCACGGATGGGCATCTGAGGTCTTTCTCCACCAGTAAAGCTGAATGTCGCCAAATGACCTATATTGTGTGGGCGTGACGTAAAAGCCAATTAAACAAACCAACAAACAATGATTAAATGCGTATTGGTAACGAA